TGCTATTGAATTTCGGGGTTTTTTTTTTTACAGCATTAGCATGCTAGGAGTTAATACTATGCTATATAGTAATTTTACTGTTCAGTACTTGATTTTGGAAAAAATAATTTAATAGCTATTTAAATAATGTGACTGAAAAGTAAACGCTTGGGTATTTCAGGTTCAGTACTTTGTTTCTTTCCTACTCACCCCCTTCTTTTTCCATTCCCCAGGAAATTTGTGAAAGAACAAAAACAAGTTCAGGAAGAAATTAGTAGAATGTCCTCTAAAGCAATGCTTAAAGTACAAGAAGACATTAAAGCTTTGAAACAACTTCTGTCTGTAGTTGCCAGTGGATTACAGAGAAACACTCTTAATATTGACAAGCTGAAAGTGGAAACTGCACAGGTATAATTTAATATAAATTTTGTTATGTAGTTTGTATGTTGATTATATCATATAGGATAACTAGCCTTCTTTATCTGTCTAAATTAACACGTGTCCAAACTAAGCTGTAATCAAAGTGAAAAACTGAATCCCTTCTAATCTATTTGAAGTTTCTGGGGGAGACTGAAATCTGTGACATCAGTAGTTTCAGATAAGTGCAACAGCAATAAAATAATTTTTAATCAGGAAAGCACTCCTACATAGCAAAGGCAACAGAAGGGAATATGTGCCTTCTTTAGTTCACTTTCAGTTATATATTCAGCTGCTAGTGAAGGCATATTTGTAACAACATGCTGGACTCTGGGGCAGCAGAAATGCAAGTATGTTTTCTTCTGATGACTTTAAAAAAGACCACAAACCACCCCATACAATTTCAGGGACCAAAATATCTTAACTAGCACTAGTACTCATTTGGTGAACTCAAGTCTCAGCTTTGTCCACCTGTCTGCATCTTAGCTGTGCAATCAGTTTGAGCTCAAGTTTTGATGCAAGTGCTTTTCAAGTTAAGTTCTGTATCACTTTTTCTTTCATCTGGCGTGTGAAGGCTGCTTGCTATATAAAAAAGTGTATTTTATTGAAGGCAAAAATGTTGGGTTTTTTTCTGTATCTTGTGATACCAGAAGGAAATACTCTATAGCTGTGCCTTGCCAATAGTTCTCTGTGAAAACAAAAACTTGTTACTGATATTCTCATATTTCTGTATATGATGAAGTTGAGAATAATCGCCAAACCAGGCACTGAGAAAGTCTTAATGGTGCAGTTATTAGAAAGTATTAAACCGAGTGTATGTTGTAATTATCATGCATAAAAAAAATAATTTCCATACAAAAAATAAGCGATTTTTATGTATTTAATATTTTTTTTAGAGGAGAAAAAATCCTTTTTGTTCTATTTCTTTTCTTTCAGGGATGTTACTACCTTGCACTTGACTGTTGCTTTTTTTTCCCCTAGTCCTCAATTGCAACAGGATATTTGAAGTACAACAGAAATTAGATCTTATCTCTTGACAGTTCAGTGCAATATTTTCTCAGCTTCTGAGAGCTCAGTGTTTTCAGGATGTGCTGTTGTTTGTTCCTTCCCCAAACTTCTGTTGGTGTTTTCAGCTCTCCAGCTTTCTGGCAGTCTATTTGAATAATTTCTGGTCAGATTCTACCATGGTGTTAACTTAAATATATGAAGAAAACATTTTATGTGAATAAACAGTAGAGTTGTAGCTATTTTTCTTTTGAATACTTTGTACAGAACCTTACCTTTTATTAATTTTCCCTATTGATTTAGGAGCTAAAGAATGCAGAAATAGCATTACGAACACAGAAAACTCCTCCTGGACTTCAGCATGAAAATACAGCCCCAGCAGAGTGAGTTACTCTTATTCATAAGAAATAGTCAATAATACAACTCTGAGAAGAGAAGACTCCAGAGAGATCTTATTGTAGCCTTTAAACACTTAGAAGGGGATGAGAAAAATGGGGACAAACTTTTTAGTAGGGCCTGTAGCAGTAGGACAAGGGAATAATGTTTTTAAACTGAAAGAGGGTAGACTCGGACTAAATATAAAGAATAAATTTTTTACAATGAGAGTGGTGAAACACTGGAACAAGTTGCCCAGAGAGGCAGATGTCCCATCCATCCCTGGAAACATTAAAGATTGGGTTGGATGGGGTTCTGAGCAACCATATCTAGTTGAACATGTCCCTGCTCATTGCAGGAGGGGTTGGACTAGATGACTGTTAACGGTCCCTTCCAACCCAAACCATTGTATGATTCTATGAACTTAATAATGTAAATTTTTTTTTCTGCTTCTTGTAACACTTGTACTGAATGCTTCATAGAGTCAGTGTTTTATTTCTACCCTTAATTTATCTTTATTTCATAGCCATGAGAAATACAGTCTTTACTCTTTCTGCTTATAGAGGGATGTCAAGAACATCATAGAACATAACTTGCAATTAAGTAAATTAAAATTGGCAGCTAATATAGATCAGATTTTTAAAGAAGTGGCAAACTAGTGAAGTTTAATAATATGATTTCATTGTTTTGCTCATCTAGCTACTTCAGAGTCTTGGTCGAGCAGTTTGAAGTACAGCTGCAGCAATACAGGCAACAAATAGAAGAGCTGGAAAATCATCTTGCTACTCAAGCGAATAATTCACACATAGCTCCACAAGGTAAATGTTTCATCCATAAAAATTAAGAAATCTTACACCTATAAGAAAAAGTTAGTAATTAGTGTCCTTTTTTGCTATTGCTGGCTTTTCTTATTTAATGTACAGAAATAAGTGTTCAGATAGATTCTGCAGTTGTTCAATGTAAAGATTTGGAATTAAAGGTTAAATTCGTAAAGGTTCTTAAGATAGATCCAGTTCCTGAGGTGCGATTTGTAAGCCTAGTTTGTCTTGCATAGAAAGTTTGATACCTAGGTACATAAGAGTAGAAATTACAACTTCTGAACTCCTGAAAAATAGGAAAAAGAGACATGGTATATTTTATGCTCTTTTTATATCTTTCTTTGTCACTGTTCTTGTAAAAGAACTTGAGTCTTCTCTAGATTTAGCTAGGGCACTTGAATAAGAGCTGGAAATGGAAGTTTGGGGCTCCTAGTGGGGCCAGGGCACATCTGAAACATTATTTTGCAAACAGACTCCAGTTTCGTGCTACCTTTTCTAACAGCATCTATTCAATCCATCTACATTTTGCTTCGTTGCAATTCCTAGTGAGCTCATAAACGTCAGAAATCTCCCTACTCTTCAGTTTTTCATTGACTTGGATCAGTATTGCATGGTCTGTTGATATTGTTCTGTTTCCAAACCATTTTTATTTCTTTTGCCTGTTTTTGTCTGTCTATTGTTCTTGTGGTTAACATAACAGTGAGAAAATCTGTTTTCCTTTCACTTTGTTATTCTCTTCTTCCTTTATCCCCTTCCATTAATATGACTTTTTTTGTCAACTTGCTATTTTAAGATGAAGTCTATATCCAGCAGAGGTGTTTATCTGTAGAAGATACAGAAATGTCTTCACCATTGTAGATGAGAGATTTTTTTTTCCCCCTGTGTAAACTGAGAAATAATGCAGTTGTTTGGGATGTGAGGTTCCTTTCAGAAGACTATCTCTGCTCTCGTGAGACTACACCTGTAGTATGGTGTTCAGCTCTGGGGCCCCCAACATAAGAAAGACATGGACCTGTTGGAGCAAATCCAGAGGACCATAAAGATGATTAGAGGGCTGGAGAACCTCCCATATGAGGACAGGCTGAAAGAGTTAGGGTTGTTGAGCCTAGAGAAGAGAAGGCTTTGGGGAGACCTTATTGCGGCCTTCTAGTACTTCAAGGGGGCCTACAGGAAAGATGGGGAGGAACTTTTTACAAGGGCATGTAGTGATAGGACAAGGGCTAATGGCTCTGAGCTGAAACAAGGTAGATTTGGATTGGATATAGGGAAGAAATTTTTTATTGTGAGGGTGGTGAGGCACTGGAACAGGTTGCCCAGAGAAGCTGTGGGTGCCCCATCCCTGGAGGTGTTCAAGGCCAGGTTGGAGGAGGCTTTGAGCAGCCTGGTCTAGTGGAGGGGCTTTGAGCAACCTGGCCTGGTCTAGGGTGTCCCTGCCCATGGCAGGGTGGTTGGAACTGGATGATCTTTAAGGTCCCTTCCAACCCAAACCATTCTATGATCTTGTCAAAAAAGGAGGCATGGGGGCGAAGATTGCTTTTCTAGGAAAGGTGTAATGTTTCTCCTGTAAACTTCTGAGCTGAGTGGATGACCCTGACAAAATGAGAGCATTCACATCTGCTACATCCATCTCCCTCCCTTCAGCATCTAGCTGTTATAAAGCTGATGTCTGGCACTTTCTGTCTTACACTGGGCTGTCTGACCAGACAAATAGGGGTGTCTGCTCTGACAGCTCTACATCAAAATGGGAACTTTTTCTTAGTTTGGTGCCTGTTTGGTTACCTTCAGCTCTGACTGAGAAAATTTAGTCTTGTTTGCTGCCACGTCATTCAATATTGGGAGAATCTCTCTGGTCAGAGAATACTGATCTCTGGGCAGTTGTCTTCTGGTTGGTTATGGTTCCTGGGGTCAGACATTTTTATTTTTGAGGCCATTTTTACGTACAGGTCCTGCAGTAAGCAGTGATTTCAAGTGCATTTCTTTTTGTGCGAATGATACTTGAACATCTTGCCATCACAGGATGGTATGTAGACACTGTACATTGTATGTTAAAAACGAGAACTGTCTAGACCTAGCTTCCAGAATAGAAGATCTGCTGAATCCTGAGGGTCCTCTCTCTTTTCATGTGATCTTGTCTGCCCAGAGTATGAGAGAGATGCCTTCACAGATTTTCCTCAGGTTTTTCAGCAGTTTCTTGCTTGTGTGGGTGAGGCTCAATCTGTTGTGCCAGCACGGTCAGACTGTCAGCAAGTGATGTAGTGATCTAGTCAACACCATATTCCATAGTAAATTTTCCTATATAGTACAGTGACCTTTACTATATAGGAAAAACTTCCTTTACCATACAGGAAACCATGACCTAGAATGTCTTGAAAATTTTGAAATGTCTAGTATTCCATATCAACAAATTGCTTCCAGACTCTCTGGAAACTTGCGGCCAGTCTTCCTGGATAGCCCTGCTGCCACAGCCTTGCAGGTTGGCATGAGATTTTTTTCTTTTCCCTAGCTTTTATTTTTCAGAAGGAAATGCTAATTATAATGGAGAAACTCCCCTATGGACAGGCAGATTTTTTCAGTTTAAGGATCACTGCTAGACCTGCACATCTTCAAGAACTTGATAGCTACTATTTGCATTGCAGTAGGTTATATGTGTCCTTCAGAGGACATGCAAAAGCTGATCTTTTCACAGGGAAGGACTACTTTGGCGCTTGTCTGTCCTCCATTTTGGTACAGTTTGGTACATTGTTACAGCGCTTCTTTCAGAAAAGCATTTTTTTGTCAGCAGATGCCTCCTTTTGCCAAAACCTTTGGGATTTCCCTTTTAATCCTTAAGTTTTGCATTAGTTGGGTCAGTGCACTGAAAACACATATCTGTGTGGGCAGTAGGATATCCTAAATGTAAGACTTCATGTAGACAAGAAGCTCCACATTTCTCCCCGTTCCTCTGTTTATGATATGCTTCTGGGTAAAGCTAGGATAAGAGTTCCTGTGATGCTTGTTAGTCATGTCTTTAAAATGTAAGTAAAGCTTCCATTCTACTGCTCTCTCTTTGGCAAAATCAACTGAACACGTAACTGTGCTTTAAGTCAGAAAGAGTGGAAGCTATATACAAACACAAGAAAATCTGATATAACTATATGTAAAGACCAATGAGGTAAAATATTCCTGTGTAATTAGATAAAGTTAGGTTGAATAATATTTTTTAGCTTTGCTAAGTGATAAAATAGGAAACAAATTACTGTCTATGTAAAAATAAATCTAAGAAAAGAGTGCTTCTCAGAATAAAGTTTGAAGCCCTTTCAAAAAGTCATCCTTGGGTGACTTGTGTCTCCCAATTGCTCTCAAATTCTGTATTTCTTTGAGACATTAACTTGTTCTCATGCAATTTTTTTTTATGCCTTGTGCTGTGTGGGTTTCGGGTGGGCTTCTTGCTGCAGTATAAACACTAAATGTTTTATCCTGGTACTGAGATTGTCACTTACCAATATTTTATATGCCTCTTACAGATTTGTCTATGGCTATGCAGAAAATCTATCAAACATTTGTAGCTTTAGCTGCACAACTTCAATCAATACATGAAAACGTAAAGGTATGTTGTTTTGATGTGTTCCCGTGTATTTAGTGAAAGAACTACAAAGAGTCACTTTTTGAAAATATAGTATATATTCAGGTATTATTTTTTCTTCTGCTAAATCAACTCTTAAAAGTTTTCAAACTGTCCTGGAAGAGTGCTTTGATTTAAAAAGTAACTTTTGTTCAGCTGAAGTCTAAAATGATACATCTGTTTATAGTGATGATAGCAACTGACCACAATCATTTAGGTTACAAGATGTTTTTCATTTAACTCAGTTTCCATTTGAATTCTTGATCAATGTTTGAAATATCTTTGAGCTCATGCTTGTATGTTTTGCTTCTTGCCCAATGACCTCTTGATCTCAAGCAAAGATGATCTAAATCTACTGTTATTCAAATAGGTAACAGGAAAAAAATAGGTATTCATACGTAGGATTTTTCAACATACCAAAGAATTTTGGTGAAAATTATGTTCTGACTTAATTTTATTTTTTTAACCTGGGTTCCATGGAAAGCCTCATGTACAGGGGAAAAAAAAAAAAAAACATACAGTGAAAAAATGCTAATGTGTCAAAGGTTCTGGTTAGGCTTGTTTTTTTCATTATGGACTCCAGCTTGAATTTCACATTTACAGTTCTGGACATACTGACAAACTGTCAGTGTTCTACAATCCATATTTCTCTTTATATGATCAGAACCCTTCTTGGTTCCAAAAAAATACAACTTGGAGAAGAGTACAAATGTTTGGGATTGTTTCTGCTAAGTGACTCCCTTAATGGGAATAGCTCTGATAAGTCTTCTGCTTATTCCCTTCTCAAAGCTGCTTCTGCATGGTATTGTTGGTTCTCTGAACATTTTGAAGTTTCTTACTTTCCCTGAGTAAAGCCTAGGATTACAGAGGATCTTCTATGAACTAGATTCCTTGCATTGTATTCCTTATGTCAGCGTGGGTATTGACTGGTTTACAGCTACCTAGCATCAGATATTTGTGCTGCTCTTAGTTGACTTGGTTTTGGTACCAGATATAGAATACATCAGCCCTTCCATAATTTTGGCAGAATTATGCAAAAAGGATCCCAAATGTGTTCTGGGTTCTTCACTTCTGAGATCTGAGTGTAGGCTTAACTCTTGCAGTAGTCTTTGTAATGATACACTTTTGTTCCTCTTCAGTATGAAGAGCTGTATTACTATGCAAGTATAAGCAATAGTATCTTCAGTACCTTGTCAGCATGACTGAATAGGAAAGACTTTACTTCAGCTTAAGAAGTATTCTATTGCCTGAAACTAAGGGGTTAGTTTGAGGATTTTTCTTTCTTTTGGGGAATTTTTTTGAGATTTAATCTAGTGGGTGAACACGAAGGCTGGTATTTTGGAAGGCACAGTTATAACCAAAGCTTCAAAAATCAGAAAAATGACTGTACTGCTTAAGTGGATCTGTCATTCTGGCCATCTGTTTTAGTTTATCAGCTAAGAGATGCTAGGAGAGGAGAGTAGTTTTGAAACTGCTGTCTCTGCCTTATTTGATGGTTGTGATACAGCTTGTGAAGGCAGAGCTGTGACCACAATTAATTCCTTTGTCTGAAGCAGGATAGTCTGAAGTTGTAGAAAAATATGACCTGAAACATCTTTGCACAGGGCTAGTTGTTAAATACATTTATATCATATATGAACATATAGATACATTCTGTATCCAAAGTCAGTGAAGAGTAAAATGTGCTTGGGCACAATTCAGGTAGAGAATGTCATTAAATCATTCTGCGTAGATTAGCCTTAAGGAGTGTTCTACAATGTCTAATGGCACTTCTGTCAGCTCCTCTGGCTGTCAGTATGGCATTGTATTCAATCTCTAATATTAGAGTTCTATTCATGTATTTTCAAAGACAGCACTCCATGATGTGATAGTGATGTCATTCTTTCTGTGTGTTTCCTGCTGTTGGCTGATAGATTTAGGATTATAGCTGTTCCAATACTGAGCTAGAATTTTTGGACTAAGCTCCTCTTCAAAGAAGCAAGCATATCCTTAGCCAGGAACACAGGATGTAGTATGTCTTCTATAAAATTGAATTGAACCTACTGTTCTTTGGTTTTAATAAATCCATTATGTTTAAAGATTCTCTGTTAGATGGAAATAATTCCATCAGCTCTTTGATTGAAGACATTTATTCTTTTTACGTTACATAAGATATACATAGTTCCCTCATTTTTGACAGAAATCGCTCATGATGAACAGGCCAAGCCAGGTGTTGTCACAGAGGGTGGGGTTTTGAGGGGGAAGGGACATGGGCAGGGTGAAGGGGGGGATGTAATGCAACAGATTTGATTTGGGCTGCTTGTTAGTCTACAGCAGAAGGATCTATTACATTTGCACTGCATTGCATCACTGAAATGCACCAGAAGCACAAGTGAATTCTAAAATTCTGGTAGCTTCTTTAGCTGTGTGCAAAGAAGTGCAGGAGTGAAAGAAAGGAAAAAGAAATACAGGTGACGATGATAGGGGAATAAAAGCAGACTCCATGCAGAAAGGCAGCACTGAATAGTGTGTTTATGTTATGAGCTAGAAATGGGGCTGTGTTTTGCCTCTTACGTAAGCTAGTACGGTGATACAAATGGAGTTGTGCTGATTTACACCAACTTTGAAAGATTTTGATACCATTCAGTACCTTAGTCTGTTACATTTGAGTGCTTTGCTGAACTTGAGGAACCTATTGTGGCTGTAGCAGATGCAAAACAGTTCTCTTCAGCTCATAGCCTGACTAGATCCTTTCAGGCTGTGGGGAGGCTTTTTTTTGTTGTGTTTTGTTATTTGGGTTGGGGGGGGGGGGGGTTTGTTTCAAGGAAATGTTATTTATAGCTCCATATCTTTTCCCTTATTGAGTTAAGGTTTTATGTCAAATACACTGAACTAAAATAGCTTCCTCTCACCCCCTTCAGATGCTCAAAGACCAATACCTTGGCTACAGGAAAACTTTTCTGGGAGATGCCATGGATGTGTTTGAGGCAAGACGAACAGAAGCTAAGAAGTGGCAGAGTGTGCCACGTGTTACCACTGGACCGACCCCATTCAGCAACCTACCAAATGCAGCAGCCGTTGCGATGGCTGCAACACTTACTCAGCAGCAACAGCCTGCTACAGGTCTGAGTGCATTCAAGTTATAGATTATTAGTGTTATGACAATAGTAAATTTGTGTAACATTTTCTATGAAGTCTTCCTTTGTGTTAGACTAAAAATCTAAACATTGTGATGAGCAGTTACTGATACATAGCCAATAGAAAAATGCAGGGTAGACTTAGCAATAATTATACAACAGATACTTAATCTTGTGAACTTACTTGTATTAGTGATACTTACTGCATTGTTCTAACTTACCCCTTGGAATGCGAGTCTTCACTCTTAAGTAACATCTCTGAATACATGTAGTATAGCCTCTTTCCAGAATTGTATGGTTATAGTAAATTATTTCAAATCGGTGAGGAGAGAATATCTAAATGCATATTAGCTTTTTCTTATGTAAAATTAGTAATACATTTTTTTATATAGCACTTTGGAACTGTAAAATGGAAAAAGCTTTAGAACAGGAAGGATAGTGGAGCAAACATCTGTAGAATAGGAAGGTGGATGCCTGGCTTATTATTTTATAGCCAACTCCTTTGTCAGAGTGATGTTGGAGCAGTTTTTGCTGGCCATTCTGCTGTTGTAAACAAATAGTAGAGAAAGTAGAGTGGATCAGTGGTTCTATATGTGCATGGATGCAAGAGGAAAACCAAACCAGAGGGAATGCATGACCCACTGCTAATGAAGAATGGACACGTATGGCAAAGGAAATAACTTGAGGCACCTTAGTTGACATTGTTATACTAACCAACACTGCTCAGAGAGGGGTGAATTACTGAATTAATATTTAGTCATTTAATGGACATGTAATTTTACTTGAACATGAATATGTCTTTATGTCAGCAAATTATGAAAAGCATCGTTAAATTAATTCTACCATTTATTTTCTAAAATGTTGTTTGTCATAGGTGTACAGAAAGTCATATCTGCACCTTTTCCTTCCTTCTCTTGTCTTGAAACAGCGGCCATATTTTGGTTTTATTTGGAGACCTGTGTGGCAGCCACCCTAATTTTGACAAATTATTAGGCTGTCCTTGCCCTCTCCATAAAAGGAATATAATGTGTTTCCAGCCCAAGCCCTTATACACAGCAAGGAAATGGGCATAAAAGACACACATGCCAAAATATTTTGAACACAACAAAAAATGAAGTCTTTATGAAATATTTCTTTAAATTTCCATGACAGACCACAGTCTTCCTGTTGCTGCTGTGTTAATCCATGGAAATCCTGTTGAACTGGTATCTGTAAAAGTCTGGTTTTAAACCAAAAACATGAGATAATGTAATGTCACACTTCAGGGTTTTTAGTACAGATAGAAGTGTGGCTTGTGCCTAATGTTGCCAAAGTAGTTCCCTCTCCCTTCATCTTTCTCCTTGTCTCATGTTTTCTTAAAATGTTTCCATGGTCACTAAAGGGTTAGTTGTATATGGAAGTCATACACTTGGGATGTCGCATTTAAAGTTATACCTGCATTTTCGTGATTTGGGATGAGGGATTTGAATTTCCTCTTCCTAGTCTAGATTTGAGAGAACTGCTAATAACTTCAGTAAATTGATGCCACTTATGGCATGACTTCATGAATATTCTCTTAGGAGTAGGAGAGAAGAGAGAAAAAAAAATAAAAGGCAGAATTGACCTGTACCAACGCTCCTGAGGTAAGGTGATTTTATACCTTGAGGCATTTTGTAGTGACAGGAGCAGATGGGAGTGTGTGTAGGTTGGGTTTGGAGTTTTTTTTTCAGTTGATTGTTCTGGTGAAGTATTTCAAAAGCCAAAAATGTGACAACTACAAGGGTGATGCAGATAGAACAAAGCCATTAACTTACATCAAACATGCCTGCAAAAGTAGACAAAAATTTGCTTCCTACTTATTTAGTTGCAATATTATTACCCTTCATGCAACTCACTTGAAGACCTGAAGAAACTGAGGTAGATCGGTGTTTGGCATGGCACTTCAAGAGTACTCAAAACTCTTAGAAAACAGGGTTAGATGGAACTTGAAGTAATCTTTTCTATTCCTGTAGCTCAAAAGCAGGATTAGTCAGGCTTGAACTTCCAGAGAGATCTTAAAGTCTTAAAAGCTTGCTAGAAAGGAAAATTTCACATCTTTCCTAGATTATTGATTTCAGTGTTTGACTTTTTCCTAATTTACCTGAAACTTCTTCGCTTCAGATTAAGGCTGCCACTTTTTGTCTTACTCATAGTGAAAAAGAAGTTTCAGTTTTGCAGGAATCTTTAAATATTTAAAGACTTACTCCATTTCCTTTTCCTTGTTTGAATTGTCACATGGCCATTTGCTGCAGTAAAACTCCAAATGTTTATGTGTTTTAACTTTGTGGTAGTTATGAATTTGATAAACTATCTGCTGGAAGTTAAAATCACGCATATTTCTTTGCAAGATCTAGATCCTGAAGAGTGGGATAGATGAGGGATGGTAGAAGGTTATGAGAGAAAAGACTATGAAATGAGGTGTATATAAAATGGGGGGAAGGGGTATCTGTGTAATACCTGACCTGCTGTTGCTGTTGTTAAATATAAGAATAAAACGAGAATATTAATCTGGGCTTTAAAGTTTCTGACTAAAATCTAATGTACGGTACTCTAGTATTGAGGGATCAGGATGGTTAGTTTCTTTTTAAAAAAAAATCTATGTTTACGTGGTTAAGTCTATTTTGTAAGATTAATTTAGAGTTAGTTACTGTTTCTCTGAAAAAAGATAAATAATAATTTATTCTAAATTTGTGTTCAGGAGTCAAAGGTTTAGTAGCTACATCTAAGCTGTGGGATCAGGGAGTGTTTCCCCAGTTCCTGGGTGCAGATACACACCCAATTGATGTTCTCTCTGTATGCCAAGACATGTCTGGCTTCTATTGAAATAAATAAAGCCGGTGGATCCTGGCCATAGGGAAGAAAGGGAGCAAAGATGCACTCCAGTAGTCTCCTGGGATGGATAATGAGGACACCAGGACTGTGGTGTGCACACTGAAGCACAACTTCTGTGCAGTTTTTTGAAACTAGAGTTCTTAAAATTATGCTTAAGTCTTGTCTGCACACAACCTTTTTCCCTAGTTCAGCACTTTTGCTCTGAGCACACAGCTTTGTTGGTGGCAATGAGGCTGGTCATGCTTTTGTGCAGTAGCAGCTAGAGTTCTAACCACTGTCTCACCTGCACCTTCCCTGAGCAATCTTGAACAGCATGGAAGTTAGTGATGGTGGCTAGTCTAACTATTATTATTGATGGGACTGAAGTAAAAGATTTTAAAGAAAATTAAAGCCTAGTAGACTAAGAGGTGTAAATGCATGAGGCTGAAACTGGTGTTTTTCTGGAAGACCAAGTTGTCTTAAAGTAATGCTTTTCTTCAAGTTCACCTTTCCTCCCCTAAAAATGAAGTACCCCCCCAACAACTTAGTTACTCTCTCCTTAACTAGTGAAGTGCAGAGTTAGTCAAAGCGTTGTCAGAACACTTTGTTCTGTTTTGACTTGACTCGGTATGAGATTGAAGTGCTAATTGGAAAGGATACTGAAATCTGTATAGCACTTAAAATTTTTATTGTGTAATTTGATAATAACCTTGGTTAAAATTAGTCAGTGTATTACTTTGTCAGAATCAGATCTGAGTTGTGACACTAAATTTGTTCACTGTTAGGACCAACTGTGATTTAAAAAATTGCAGAATGTCACTTTAGAAAAATCTGGCTGACTGTCTGGACTCTTTGTAGTGGGTCCTATTTGTGAAACTGAAATGCTCTATAGGGCAAATATATCAAATTTTAGGATGCTAAAATACTTGTTATAAATAATTTGTCTTGTACCTATAATAGCCAGAAGTGCCAATCTTTTGCTAGTACTTTTGGCATTGAAGAATCTTTATTACTAGTTTTTTGCTATTGGAAATTATGTTTACTAACAAGAACTATAAATAGTAATGATGCCTTCAGAAGATATGGTACAAAAATCAACAAATATCATATCCTGTTGCTCAATGAAAAGCTTGTTAGCTTAAGGCAGAAGTTCCTGTTTTATGTAATCTGAAAGTATTTTAGAATGTTTTTTACTGGCTCTAAAAAGCATGTTGCATTTGGTAAAAAGCTTGGCTTGGAGGACTGTAGTGTTTTGTTTTGAGGTCTTCCACTAACAGTGCCTCCTTACTGAGACAGAAATCTGTGCACTTGAGAAGGAACTGGATATGTGTGTTTTGGGTTCTTTTAGTTTATTAGATTACTAACTGACTTGTGTAGTGTTTTTTGTGTCTTTTTATTAATAACAATTTTCTTCTTATTTTTAAAGAGCTGCTAGGTAGATGTATCAGTATTTAAACTGGATGTAAAAAAGTTTAGTTTGAAATTTATGTGAAAATTTGTAATTACAACATCTGATATACTCTTTTTTTTTAGTTGAAAAAATAACTTGGGTTTTCCAACTATTCCCTGCTAAGCAGAGACTGAAAGCTAAGAACTTTAGTTGCCCTTAAAATTTAACACTGCTTTGAGTATACAGATGTCATTCAGCTTGGATCACTTAATAATTTTGTGTTCCTAGCAAAAATGTTACTTTTCAACATACAGTGCCTTTCACTTGATTCAAAATGATTTTCTATTTAAATCTTCAAATACTGAAATTATTTTAAAAGCTTGAAATATTTACATTTTAAAACACTAGATAAATATTAGTAACAGGAAACTTTGTTGTGTGAAGGAAGAAAATTTGAATGCAAAGAAGCCCGAATGTGATGGTGGGAAAAAGACTGAAATCGTCTGAGCTTTATAGTAATACTTGAATAAATCATCACTTTCACATATATAGTACATAAAGTATGTTCAAAGATCTTGAGGAAAGGTGTGAATGTCTATGGATTAAGAGTTTGGCACTGTATGTTATTGTCAATGGTTAAACTTTTTAACTAGTGCACTGAAAACTTTGAAAAAGACAGAAATATAAGATTGTACTGTGAAAGCTGTCAAAATATATTAATTATTTATCAGAATTAATTATTTTAAAATGTATTGGTAATCGGCTAGCTAGTTGATTTTTTTTTTTATTCCCCAAGGTAAAAAAAAAAAACACAAAGGAACAGAGACTGTAAATTTCATCTTGGCAGACAGAAAAGGGTTTTTGACAGTCCTGCATCCTAGTGTGAATATGCAGGGAAAGTACTGTCAACTTTTTTTAGATTATGGGACAAACTCTGACTCTGAAATTTTGAATGTATCTAATTCATTAAGGTACACAGAACTGTGCCTTTTGTAAATGTTTATTTAAACAGGTGGTTTGACTAGTTTACATTATTGAATGGTGTTATGTAGCAGAGCTTAACAGAACTCAGTTATCACTTGTGTGGAAAAGAATGGAATTGTCATGTTACTGTGTAATTGACTTGCTTACAAATGAACAATAAATTTAATAAAATAAAGTCATTGTCTTGTTTTTTATCTTAGTGTTCTGTTTAAATTTGAATGGAATACTTAAGTAGCTTTGAAGATTTCTGTTAAATTTACTTTTGGTACTGTAGTTCTAGTTACATTATTGCCAGTTCTTGTGTTTTTGATTTGAAGGTTTTCCCTTAGTCTGATTCCATTAATACAGGTGGCAAAATGTTACCTATGAGTTCTCTCAAGATTTTGCTTAATGTTTTAAATTTTAAGGTGAGACTGGTTAACTTTTAAAAATACTAAATGATGTAGTTATGTTATTAGCTTTGCCTAGTGTCACCTTATTATAATCAGTGTTTTCTTAGATTTTTACCAGGCAGATGTTGAGGCAGTTAAGGGAGGAATTTTGATGAGGTAAAATTTGGGATCTTAATGGGATTTGTTGAAAGCAATGATGTTCACATTATCAAATACTTGAGTAAATAAAAAAAAGGACCTCTTTACTATGAAAGAGTAAGGCAAGTTTGTTCTCATTTTTTTCATACCAGGGCCACAGCCATCTCTGGGAGTTAGTTTTGGAACGCCATTCGGCTCAGGTATTGGCACTGGCTTGCAATCAAGTGGCTTAGGTTCTTCAAGCCTTGGAGGTACACTTTAACTTTTCTAATATTTCATTGAACTATTATACCGCACATCTGAATCTCTTGCAAACCTTTAACTCCACCAAGAGGGTGATCTGTTTCAGGGAAGGACCTTCCAATTTGGCAGTCTGCACTTTCCAAACTTCTTCATCGCTCGCAGAAGGAGTTGCTAAGGCTAATAAGCCATTGTAGTGAAAACCCAGGATGAACAGCATGAAGTAATCACATAGAAGTTCTATCATTAAAGCTAGGGAAGTACATCAAGTACATCTGTTTATAACTACAACTTGACTTGATTTTACATATATGGAAGTTAGACACCTGAGACATTGGATGATGCTGTAGCTAATCTGTAGAAGTGTTTTACCTGTATGTATAACTGTTAACTGCAGGGACCCATTTCTGCTTGGATTAAGATAAGAAGAAATGCTAAAGAAACACTACAGTTCTGCAGTCCTGCTTGCTGAAACATATTTGTTTTAGCTGTCACTGTCCCTCAGTGCTGAGGTGGAAAAAAAAAAACCCTTCTCAAGCTGAAAAAGCAACATTTGAAAGTGAGGGAAAAATATTCATCAAAATGTTAGTAGTGCTGGTGGGGAATGTATTCCAAGAGGACACATGACTGTGAAAGAGTAGACAGTAATAAAAAAAAAAAAATCATAAAATCCATGTAGACCTTTTAATTTAAATATAATGAGTTCTCAGTAGTAGAACTACAAGTAGAATCTAAGCTATTAGAAGAATCTAATCTGCAGGTTAATCTCCTATCTGTATAGGTCAAGGGTTCCTACAGTGTAAGTCAAAAGACACTAGTGTCCTCTGAAGCTTTTGGATGAGATCTGCAAAGAAAATTGTTATATCTGCTGAGCACAAACATAATGTGTTGTGGTTCTTGTTACAGCCTCTCCTCTCTGCAGCCTTAGTCCACATCCCTACATTTTACCTCTTTTTGAGCCAAACATGAGTCAGTGTTGTAATGTATTTAAAATAATCTAAAATCCCTTGGTATTGGAAAGATGTCCTTAAATGTTACATCAGGTTTATCTTAAATGATCATCTTAAAATTATCTTTAAATCTACTTATGTCCTTTCTCATCAGATTTTAAACTTTTTCAGATAAAAAACAGTCTGTACACCTAAACAGGAAAAATAACAGAATAGTGGGCTAAAAGGAAAGTACATCTGAATTACCAGGTCATTCCCACAATGTTTTAAGTGTTTTTAAAAAAACACTATAAAATTTTTCCTCTTCAGCCAAAGAGCTTGTAGACAAAAGATTGTTTATATATGTTCACCAATTTTGCCAATATAAATTAAAGAACATTTTATTTTAAATTGATGGACAACTGCTTCTAGTTTTGTCATAGAGGATTAACTTGTATTCTTTTTTTGCTAGCTCTCTGCTTAGGAAAGCATTTGCTTGCATTTCATCTATTCTGTATTAATGTGCAAAATTTTTGTCTTTTCACAAATCAAGACTATTTGATAGAAGCAAGTGCAGAAGAATAAAGGAATGCATGCAAAATATCCTGCAGGTGTGCTCTTGGAAACAAATTAGCAGAATGAATACTTAAGATTTTTTTTAACTTAGGGTTTGTTTTTTTTTTTGAACAGGACAATTTTTAATGTATACTCTTGAAACATCATTTTAATTGGGGAAATTTGCTCTCTTTCTGTGATAAATATTCAGTGAATTTTGTCAGCTATAAACATGGAGCCTTTTGCATTTAAGTATATAAGATTTGTAGCATATAGATCCTATGCTTCATTAAATATGTGCAGACACCTTGCCTGACCATTGGTAATTTTAAACTCGCTAGGATAAAAGAATGTATCATTTAAATAAACTATCTTACATTCAAATTATACTTGCCACTATATATCCTTAAAACCCTTATTTGATTTAAAAATTGGAGAAGACTAAAGAACACTGCTTCAGATAGTGTGTTCAGTCATTACTAATTTTTAAATCTAAAAAGGAATCTCTAAAGGAATGGTAAAGGCTTAATTTGCAGTAAAATAGAAGTATTTTCCGTGGCACTTGAAACTTAAGATGGGGGCATAATTTCCTCAAATATAAATAATGTTCTCTTTCTGAAAGCCTCTTGAGACAGCCAAAATCAGAGAATGTATTTCTCTTACTGTTCCTTTTGTCTGGCCTCTATCTCGAACAGCAAATATTAACTTACTTTTCCTTTGAAGTGATTGCGTATTAACATAATTTGAGAAATCTTGAAATATTTATGTTATGAAATGACACATTTCAATTACAAAATTTTAACTTACGCAATCACTTCAAAGGAAAAGTATTAACATAATTTGAGAAATCTTGAAATATTTATGTTATGAAATGACACATTTCAATTACAAAATTAACAGAATGAGTTTTATTACAGCTATGTGTTTATGGCTGTCCTGTATGTGATGATTTTTTCCCATTAAATATTGTGAAATTCTGTTTCTATTCCGTACTTAAATTATTCTGTGGTTTCTTAGATAAAGCTGATCCCAAACAACCTGGGGAGGCTGACACTCTAAAATCAGCCAAATATAAACTAAATAAAATGTTTATCTGTTTTAAGCACAGATAATTTTTCTTTTTGAGTTGTGGATGAAGATTGCAGCTTTCTGTAGTAGAAATCATATAATTTGTGTATGAATTTTCTTAATTTTGGCCCATTTGGTTACCATTTTCTTGACAATTTACAGCAATTCAACATCAATTTTATAAACAATGATAGATTATTTCACCTGTTTTTATAGCTTTTTCTTTACTCAGTTTTGTATTTTGAAGGAAATACTTTTCTCCAATGCTTTCCTGTTTGCACTGTTTTCTCAACACAATGGTGTGTTGAGAATAAAATACTCTTGAGGCAATAATCTTAGGAATATTTCTTTACCAAATAATACTTAGAATTGGGTTTGATTTTTAGAGTACTTGCCCTCAACCTATGTCTTTAATTGCTGTGTCTGTAATTTTTTTGTTGTATGTCTTTACTGTTATTCTACTAGGATTTGGAAGTAGCTCTGCCTTTGGAAGTAGTGCCACAGGAGCAACATCATTTGGGTTTGGAACTACAAGTAAACCATCAGGAAGTCTAAGTGCAGGTTGGTTTGTTTCTCTTGAATTCAAGTTAATCTTAAAGCAAAAGTGTTACAATCAAAGTGCTGCACTCAGTCTAAGAAAGCTACTGAAACAACTGTACTTTAAAGTTGCATGTGTATATAACCATTAAAGTAACTATTTACTTGCTAAATACACATCTTCAGAGAAGATTTTAGGTTCTAAGGTCTCCTAGGTAGACAGTATTGAGTGAGCATTAATGTTTTCCATTTGGTGTCTGTCTAATTAGGAGTGGAAGCGGGAGATCAGATGCATCAGATTGGATCAGATGCAGTCTGAGGCACAGAAATGCACTCACTACTTGAATGCATAGGCTATACAGTTAACGGAGCTATTGAAAGTAGTGCATAAATTTGAGACAAATATACCAGTAATATGACTTCCTGTGTTGATTTTAAAGTTAAAAAAAAATTTTTAGAAGCCCAGAAGGCTTCCTTGAAACTATTTATCTGCTTGTCCTTTGAATATTAGGTTATGGGTATTGTATCTCTGTATATATGCATAATTCATTGGGTTAACTACTTTGAAAACATTTCTGTGGCAATTGAACTACTCAGTAGTCATTTCACTTTTTTAATTTTTTGGTGGTGAGAAAATGAAAATATGGTTGCAATTGCCCCTTAACTCAGATGTCTGAAATCTTAGTCACTTCTGTAGCTTGTATCTCTGTTTCCTTTCTAAACAGGAGTTTGGTTTTGAGGCACATTGCTTGCTACAGTCTGTCTTACAGTATTCAGTGACAGGTTGAAGTAGTATCATGTCTTGTGGGATTGGCTTTTGGTAGCATGTTTCTTTTTTAAAATAAAAATATTTTTTAACTGCGATTAATACAAACATAGCAAGGGCCTGGTATTTATTAGTAAATGCCCAGTACATTGGCTTGGACCAGTGTTGTATTAGTTGTCGTGCTTTTTGCTTTGTTTTTCCCTTGGTTAGTGATGGGTTATGCTGTCAAATTAGGCCTGTAAAGTACCCTAAGCTTTGTATTATAAGGTGGAAATAGCTTACAAAGATGGCTGTGTATTATTCATGAACGTGTAACACCCACTGCAGTATGCAGTGTCTAAGCATCACACTTCTTTTGCTTAACCAGTTTTTAATATCAGAAAAAAAGTGGAAAACTTACACTGCTTATGGTTTTATCTTGTAGCTTGTTTTTCCTGAGCCCATATTAAATTACCTATTGTTAACATTTACATAAGTAGTATTGCAGCATTTCAAGCTTCTAAGTTACAAAGTACATAATTTAGTTTTTAGTGTATTTTTAAAATACAGTTAGAGAACTGTTTGTGTGGCTCAGTTGTCCACCACTAATTGAGGTATCAAACCAAAGTAAATAGCAAGTTTGTCTTCGCTGTGTTGGTGGTGTGCAGAGACAGTTTAGATGTCATTTCTTCTGTATTCCTTCAAACCAGGGTTTGTCATGGTGGCAGTGCCCCCCAGTCTCTCTTTAGCCATGAGGGAGTAAACCCACGATTGTTTTCAGTTATCTCAGGGTCTCAGCTATAGAGGATGGTAAACGGGAGTATAAAAGACTAAATGTAATCCCTGTAATTTTGTGCTTATAAAATAAAGTGGTCATGAAATCCTGATTTAGACTGGGATTATGGAATAGAAACCTTCATAAAAATTTGGTAGCTCAGAGCACATTAATACTTACCTTTTATATCCATAATACTATGTTGTATAGCTTTTAGATTGCATATGATCTTTAGTTTAATTTTATTGAGGGTGTATAAATGGGTTTGAAAGATGCTTGAGGCTAGCCAGGTTTGTTGTTTTGTTTTTGTTTTGTTTTTATTTAATATATCCTGTTTCTGAGCACTTACAGGATCCTGAAACAATATTCTGGTTTATATTACCATATGATAGTTGTATCTTGTTTCTGTATCTTTTTTTTTTCTGAAAAAGCTAGGAAAATGGGGTGAATATGGGATATACAGTTGTTACTGCTTGTGTTTAGATGTGAGCACTTAAGTTTATTTTCCCAAGCTAATGTCCAGTAGGTGTTCTGTCTCCCCATCCTAGGCTGCCTAGATAATGCCCCTCCTCCACATTTTCCATCAGTTTGTTCTTATTTTAGAATGAAAACTATAGATCTCCAAATTGCTTCTGTCAAGTGTTCGTAAGTTATGAGTTGGATTTAATTGCTTTAAGATTTGAAAATGTTTGTAGTACTTCTGTACTGTCTGTACTGTCTGTAGTTGTTCTCAGTTTGTATGTTTGAAGAGAAAGTTCTGAGTCTTCTGAAAGTACTTGAGCATCTTCTAATAGTAAATTGGGCTTAGTCCAGGAGCAGTCCTTGTGTCCACTGTGTCAGTAGATGAAAAGCAGAGTAACTGCAGTCTTCTCTCAGTTCCTTTAGTGCACACAGTTGTGAGATGGAACACATCTCTCACACTTCCTTCTGAAACAGAGATAGACCCTGTGGAAAGCTGACTCCAAATCAAGTCCCAGTTAATTCCTGCTCGGAGTCATTTAATGGCAACTGAAAAAGCTAGTTAGAGTGGGATGTTGTAAAGAACATTAAGACTCCCAAAGTGAAAAAAATCACCATTGAATTTATAATATAAAAGGAGGGGGTATGCGTACACACACACTATTTTTGTGAAAACTGAGATGCCACATAAGCTTTGAAGAGCTCAAGTGAGAATTTGTGCTGGAGACTTACTTTTATTGAAGAATGGCAGCCTCGGTACATGAGATAGGAGACTATCAAGTGGGATCATGGCTGGACGTACTCATAATGCTGAAAAATGGACCTGAATATAATCCATGTGTAACTATGAGCAGCTTTTAGTTACAGAGGCTATAGTAAATCAGTCAAAGCTGTGCTGGCAATCCTCTCAGATTTAGAGCACCTATTCACAATAGGTGAATGAAATGGCTTTATGGGGGCTGGCAGAGGGAATAGATTGCCTTTGAGATCTGCTGAGCTGCTGTTTATCCCTGTAGTATTAAAATAAAAAAAAAAAAAACCTCTGTTATGGGGAGGTGTGTATCTCATGATGTTTGGCTTACCTGTCTAAAGGGCTGACCAAAGCAGAGATGCAAAAGCCTGAGGGATAAAGTGTACTCTGAGGTCCTTCGGGGACATGCTAAGTCTATGCCCTCGAAGGGCGGGTTGTGATTTACTTTAAGAAAATAATTATTTACACATAAGCAATACTAATTTCAACAATAAATCACTGATTGAATTGTAGCCATGGTTCAAGACTTTGTGACTCTTCCCGCTAGAACTGAGCTGTTCTGTGACTGATTCTCTTTCCTTGCGACAGGAATAAGTGAATAAACCTTGTTCAAGGTTTTTTTCCTTTGTTTTAATTTGAGTAGTCTGCTTTAGGATTTGGTTTACTTTTAAGAAAAGAACTTCGTATCATGACCTTGTTATGCTGCCATGACAGAACAAAGCCATTTAGATGAATTCCCCTTCTGCCTTTCTACACTTTCGTGTCTGCCCTAGATGGCACTTGTCACGTAATAGCTACTACTTTCCAGGCTGTATCTAAATAAACAAGCATGTTCTCAGTCTTCTATCACACAGTTTATGCATCTTTCTTATTCTAACATTACTCAAATAAAGTTCAGGCTGGCTTCCCTGTGTACTTCAACATAATCCTCTTATCTAGAAGCAGCTAGGTAGAGGCAATTTATGAACACTTCACCCTTGCCTACTGAACTCCTGATGCTATAGATTACATACAGCTTTATTATGAATGGCATTTATGATGTTTTCGATGGGAGACAATGCTTATCTGTTATCTCAATACGTACTTGAAGCAGAAAGGTAGCTTACCAAGAACAGTTTTGGTTATTAAAGACTTATTTCATTCATGAGACTCCCTGATGAAAGGAAGTTTATTCTTCTAAAAATCTTCCTTGAGATTCAGAGTTAGAGGAAATGGAGGAGTAGTTGCGTCTGTTCCAAGCCTTACATCCTAGGATGAGAGACAAATTAGTCCACAAAATTTAGACAAGACCCAAATAGACAATATCGTTAGTCATACTCTGCACACTCATTACACTGACAATGAGTTCTACACAGACAACTGCACGTTGAACAGCTGCAGTTACTGGAATGTAGATAATGAGGGATTTTCTTGACAAGATGATGTGGTGTATAACCTACATCCAGACATTGCAGGAGGAAGAGTTTCACATGATGTTTTGAAGTACTTCTTGATCCAAAGCATCAGTAACAAGGGAAAAAGGCATCAGGCTTGTGAGAGCCACTTTGGGATTCTGATAAGACAATCAGTTGGGTTTTTTTTTTTCTGTGCTCTAAAGATATTTAGGCATTGAGTTGAAGATACTGATGTGACCAAAGGATTACTTTAACTGTCTACATGAGAACTAAAAAAACCATGTTAAGTAATGCATATTGAGAATATACCCTTTTCGCTTGTGAACCAGTCCCATTTTTTTCTTAATATTTTAATTGTTTACAGGTTTACGTATACAACTTGTATGAAACTACTTGTTAAAATCTTAACTTGCTCATGTCATATTTGTCATGTTGGATGGTTGGTTACCTTATTCGGTTTCTTGAGAGAACAAAAAGCAGAGTTCTGAAGTTCTGCTTCTTATTAACTATTTGAGAAATTTCTAGCATTCTCTAATAGTTTATATTATTATCCAAGTTGGATAATTAATTAATTAAGTACATAACTCATAAATTCACAAAACAAAGTCAAATGATTTGGTGTTACTATTGCTGAAAACTGTAGGCAGATTTTCTCAACTGATCTTGTTTTATAGCTGAACCAAATGTTCAATTTGTTTACCTTTATAGAAGAGGGTGGAGGAGTTAAAATAGCACAGTTCACTCACCTCATCATTCAGTTTGTTCTCAGTGCTGCTTTTTTGGGTTGAGTCATAAAGGATGTTTTTTAAATACGAAGAATTTGGCAAGGACTTTGAGCCTTTTCTGCCTCTCCATTTAAGGTGTGGTCTGTGCCACATAGGTTATAAAGACAGGCAAAGGTAGCCTAGTCAGCAGGGCACAAGGCTGGGAGCTCTGACTCCAGCTTTGCCATTTACCTGCTGTGAGTGAAGTGATGGGGCCATGATCTGCTTGTGCTTCTGCCTTCCCCCCCCCCACTCTGCATATTTAGACTGAGAACTTGAGGAGTTGTGGTGGTTCTACTGTACAATTTTGGTGGGACTTCTGGGTGCTACTGTGGTAGGGATAATGGAATAAGGGACTTGTGATTCAGGATATGATGAGCTACACATGTTAGTGCTGTAGCATCCAAGCTGTCATAGCATGTCCAAGTGTGTTAGCAATGTGGCATTCTGTTGTAGATCCATGTTAGCATAAGTATTACAAATATTGGTAATAAAGTGGCTGGTATTCATAACTCCAAGGAGAACAAACTTGCAATCCTGATATAACTTACGTTTTAAAATATTTTTTCCTCCCTCATAAGGCTTTGGCAGCTCAACTACATCTGGGTTTAACTTCAGCAATCCCGGCATCACAGCATCAGCTGGCCTGACATTCGGGGTGTCTAATCCTGCATCTGCAGGCTTTGGGACAGGAGGGCAACTTCTTCAGCTGAAGAAACCTCCAGCTGGAAACAAGCGAGGGAAAAGATAGGCAGTCCTTTTAGGGAAGGGGAAGCGAATCAACTTTGTTCATCTGAAAAGTCTATTTTTCTAGATTGGTGCATTAATTAAATTGCATCCCAGGAGATTTATAAAAATTTTGCTACTTTCTGTAGTCTGAAATACAAAATGAAATCATATTGAACAACTATTTTCTTGTGAATAGAAACCCGTTTATGTATTTTTATTTTTGGCCTTAGTTTTAGAAATGTTCTATACTGCATTATTATTAAAGAATCTTGTAAAACCATCTATTTAACCTAATGTTAGTAGAAGAATATTTTTTGTTAATAAGCTTTATACCATATGAATATATGCATATTTGTTTTTTGTACAGATAAAATATATTCTAGTACAAATACTAGAGTTCATATCTTCTGTTCCTGGATATGGCCTTTAAAATCTACTTCAGGGTGTTTTTGTGTATATGGATGTAAATATATACAGTACAGTGCACACATCTGTGTGTATGTATGTGTATATATATGTATAAAATACAGATGTGCAAACCTTGCCCCATAGACAGGTCTCCTCTTTGTGTGTGCTGTTTCTCAGTGTTGCCCTGTGGTCCGATATCTTGATATTCCTAGAAGTTTCAAATTATGGGGCCTGGGCTGTGTCATCATTGCTTCTTGTGTTTTGTTGTTTAAGACCAACTGAAATAAAATGTTTAGTATTTCATAAAGTTTGGTAAATAGTGGTTAGTAGATTTTTTTTTTAACCTTAACATATAGCGGCCAACTCTAAAGAAGAATCTGAGATCTTGACACAGACATTTCATAGGTAATTGTTCCCAAAATGTTTGGTTTTGTTTTTATTCCTGACCTGAACAGCAGGGCGTTGCAGGATTTCAGCTCTGGATGCCATAAGGTCTGTGTGCAACAAGAGAGTTGTTGGGCTGCATGAGCTTTTCCCTGCAATTGGAGCAGATAGGATGTGCTGCTCTAATGAAAATTTGAGTTAGCTGTTACAAAATGGAGTTGATTTACTAGCTTCTCATCAGCGCTACTTGCATTGACTTAAAAGCAGTTGCATATCTTTTTTCAATACGAGGTATAGTACAATAAGTTGCTGCTAAAGACTAGAGGAGGAAAATGAATAATAACTAATTTGAAGGTTAAAGCTATTGCAACAGCGATTTATGGATCTTGCATATTATGACATCATAGCTTGTTGTGCTGCATATCCAATTTGGTGTGCACTAGAAATAGCTGGGAAAACATCTTAAGGAGGAAATAATAGTTCAGTTGAATCTTTACAAATAAAGATACAGGTTGAAGTGTGGACATGAAACTTGGGAGCGGAGTTGCTTTTTATGTAGATGTTTTGTATATAACATGCATCAAATGAATATTCACAATCGTTTTCACAAAAGCACCTTTTTTTTCTAAACCAGTTAAAGTGCATAAGATCTTTCTAGTACCAGGTCATTTGCTTTCTATTGTTAAAATGTTATTACCATTTTGTATGTTTTAGAAATGAGGTCTGCATCCAGTGGTGATTGCTCTTTGGCAAATGTTCAGTTTGTCACTTGATCTGATAAAATTAAGGGAAACTGAGCACAGAATTCTTCACATTTATATTTGTATGTTACTGCATCTTTGTGAGCAGTCCCTTAGGAAGGGATATAATATGATTTTTTTTATGTCTTGGAAAAATAAAGCTTACAGTTTATTTTGATTTCAACCTTTTTTTAAGCCTTTATTGGGCTGCAGTCAAAACCGTAACGTTTCTATTCCTTTGTTATTGCTTTTTTTAGTAGTTAATATGTTAAACCACTGGACTCTCCTGTAATGTATTAATTTGTGAAACTAATTCTAAATGTGTACTGTTTGTCCATATGTGCAACAATAAAACAGTAATGCTGTGATACTTGTAATACGTATTTGCCTGTTTGAAAGATCATTTCCTGTTCTCCTATGTTATAAGAGAAACAAAAATGTCATCGGCTGATATGTAGAATTGTTTTTCCTAGACTGCAAAGTTGTTCTTGATGATGTTAGGGCCTTGATCTCTGCATTGGAAGTGGGGGGTGAAGGGAGGTGTATTGTATTAGGGGTTTCCCTAGAATCTCTTCACAGTGCACTGTATAAACCTGGATTGTGCTGTAATGTAGCACAGCACTAGGTACAGCTTTGTAAATCTGAAAGCAGGCTGAGCACCTGGGTACCTGTGATCTGTCTCTTTTCACATTAAGGCAACAGTTATGTCCTTAATTTACCCTAAGTGAAAAAGTGATTATATAATAGAGTAATCATATGCTGGAGTACAAACTAAAGTCAAAACAATTATATTCCCAGAGTATCACTTATGTGGTTGTATTTGGCTGTGATTTTCAGGGATCAGCATTACATCCACTGTTTCAAATGGTGTTTTGTTCTGTTTTTTTCCAATTTAAAGACATATATTGTGCAAAATACAAATACATCTAAGGTGTTGCTTGGTTTTATACAAGGCAGAAGCTGACCTGTACTTAGACACTATGAAATGGAATCAAGTCTGAATTATTAGTTCTGTAAAGAAAGAAAAATATGTACCAGAGGAAGGCTGAAGTTGCATATGTGGGATGTGGTTCTCTATTAGTTTGTGCCTTGTTGTACAGCTGTGGTGTAAACTTAAGTGAACTCTAAAAGTAACTTGGTTTTTCTTCGCTGGTCTCCCTACAATGAACATAGCAGAAGGCAGGATAGCGTTATGCCTTAAATGGCTTGCTTCGTGAACCTCATCCTGGTCCACCATCTCAAAACTTTCTTTATGCTCACATTTGTCTCTGTTTCTGACGAGTTGGCTGGTACCACACTTACTGCTTTCTTGCAGATTGGGAGGGAGGAGGTTGAAATAAGGTGGTGGAGTTGGATAGAATTTACTCATCTTCCTCACCACAGGCTTTTGAAATCCAAATCTAGCTATACCCCCTCCACCAACATATTGATAACATAACTGCATTTCAAACCTTGGTTGCTTTTATAGCATCATTTTTTGAATGAAAATAAAGTTCAGGAATACAGGTTTAGTTGCATCTTTGACATCAGTGATAATGCTTTGGTTTTTTCCAGTCCTCTGTTCATGTTAATAGTAGGAGTAATCCAGAATCAGTCATGTCAGCTCTTACCTGTTACTAGTTCTAATACTTGGAAGGTCTCAGCAGAAGATGTGAGAGAAGCAAATTGTAGGTTCTTAGTGAGAAATTAAAAGTAACTGTATAGAAAAATCTGTCCATACAGGAGAGCATGAATGCCTTATGCTCTATAAAAATTTATTTCCCTAAAACTCTTATTCAAGTTTGTGAGAACAAAGAACTGGCTATGTGCAAAAATTTCCAGCAATAAATTGTGCAGGTTTTGGACTAATTGCTGGGTTTGTGCTGTCAGTCTGTTTCCTCTCTTCCCTCTCAGTAAGCACCTTTCGACACTGTGGCTAGTATCTCCAGATGCTGATGGATGGTTAAAGTATTAGAGGAGTAGATTTGTACAACTCCTCATGAAAATCAACAGTTGGGCTCGGGGAGGGGAGTGACACTGAGCTGGTGCCTGCATCTGATCTGGGAGGCAGCGGTTACCTGCTGTGACAATGGCCGTGGAGCTTCAACCCAGCTATAACATGCAGCCTCCCACCCAACCAGACAGGTAGGTTGCTTAAAAAGTGGATGGAGGTGGTGAGGGGGAGGAGAAGTGTGGGCAGAGATGAAGGGATGTAGAGCACAAGGCTTCCTACTGCGGATGGGGCAACTTGCTTTAATACTGTTTGGGATAATTTTGCCTGAACTCAGTGTTGAATATCTATATGCTGGTGTTTTTGTGGTCTCAACTGAATATGTAATACAAATTTTGTATTGGTTGAATGTTGTGTTTAGTAGGTAGAAATAGACCATTGTAGCAGTTTAATTTTCTAGGTGGGTGACATTTTTTTACTTAGGGAAGAAAATTATAAACTAACTCCATAACCAAAGGAATAAAAAAAATAAAAAATTAAGGGCTTCCCATGAGGATTCTAATAGCTCTGTTGGAGAATGCTGCTTTCACTAGGTGGCAGGAGGCTGCCAGTTACATACTGGAACAACAAAGCCCTTGCAGGCATAGTTGTTATACAGTGTGTCACCTTTTGTTTTCAGGTCATTCACGTTTTCTTACACCCTTTTTTAAGCTAATAGGATTTTGCTAAACTTCACCAATGTTTGAACGATTCTTCTGACCCATTTGACTCCTGTTGTTAGGAGGTTTATTACTTAATACTTTTTTTAATTAGGAATTTAATCTTTATAGCCCATTGCTGCAGTTGAAGCACCACTGTGAGGAGGTGAGTATGCTGCGTGTTAACTTTAGCTTTAACAACTTTTACAAAGAATGGTTTGCTTTTTGTTTTCTCACCTTTTAGAAGTAAGGTAATTCTAGCTTATGAACAGGTTATGATTAACTTCTGCAAACTTCTAGAAGAGCTTCTGGGTTGATTTTATTTGGGTTAAGGTATAGATCCACCCCTACCAGGATATCAGATCAATTCTGATGAACACTTGCATAGAAAACTTGGAATATGTACTCCTGTCCTAACCAGATCAATAACCAAGCAGGTGAAAGATATTTTACTTGTTTGTTCAACTAATGTCTTAAACTGATGGATTTCCCTCTTTTTTTTTTCTCTTTTTTTTTCCCCCCCTCTTCAATGCAGGTGTCACTGCACGGCATGTGCTTGGACAGCAGGACAGCAAGTTGCTAGA